GCTAGTGGACTTGGCTAAGACATAGCAATGCCGAATCGTAGGAATGCCTAGGTTAATCCTAAGACGACGGTTTAACTCTATGATCCCCATTATGATGCGAAAAAAATTCACGTTAGGCTGGGAAGGGATTAGGCCCCAATGTCGAAAGACAACTCTCAAAAACGGATGAAGGGGAAAACGGATGCCGCCTTCAACAATCGATAGGAGAGGAAAGATGATTGTGCTCTCGTCGGTCCTCTACATATCGGTGGTGCTGTCTTCCACGAGTGACAGATGAACGTCATCGGGGATGGAACAATGGCGTCGGAAGCCGGAAATCTGATCCGCAGAAAGGAGTGCTTTCAAATTTTTTGCCATCATAGCTAGCTTAAGGATTATGCAAAAGTAATAGTAAACAAGAAAATGGTATTGGGAGTGAAAGAGAAGAGAACTTACAGGGAGCAGAAGGGATAATGAGAGACAGAAGAGAGTTGCAGAGGTCGTGAGGTGGAGGAGTTGTACTAGAAGGCGAATAAAAAAATCTTGAGTATTCAAAGTATACATTCGAAGAGACAAAGTTTTAAACCACATTAAATGGAGGAAGTATACGAAGAGGCGGGAACTTGTAATGATGACTAGAAAACATGTGCGTTCTGACACACTTTGGAATAAGGTTAACCACCGAATTTTTGACTTTTCAAGATCGAAACCAAACACACCGACTAAACAGAGTTAATGGGGTGTTCGGGGGGCAATTGTGGTAGCCGAATAAAAGCAGACGCAGATAGGCAGTGTAGATTTTCCCAATCGGTGAATAATATGCATTCGGCCCCGTCCCTGACGTTTCAGATGCCAAATAAGTTGAGCAGGGGGCCGATTAAAAGTTGGAATACTGCATAATAGGGGGGCCGAGTGCATAAATACATGACAGATCGAGAACGGGCCCTGCCTAGAAGACTAGGAGTGTATATAAATAGAAGAACGACGAACAAGAAGAGGTATGTGAGAATTAGTACACTTAACTTAAGACACACGCAATCAAGAGAGCATACACTGACTTATCCGTCGGAGTGCTAATTCCGGCACCCCTGACTGGAGTGTTCATTCTTTTTTAGGCTACCAGTTGAAGATCTCGAGCATCTCATTGGATCCAAAGAGTATTTTCAAACCACCTTCCCCACAATAAGCTACTCAACAAACTTTACAAAATAACCAGTTCAGATTATAAAAATAAATTCATAATAAACCTAGACACAACAGTTACTGTGGTAAGAGCACAGCAACAACCCCACAGGGGTTGAAGATGATGATGATGACGACTAGTGTTACAAGTCATGGATTTAGTCATAGATTTATTTTCTCTTTCTCAAATTAATGCTCACAGATTTGACTACACTATGGACAAATATGGGTTGATGAGATGACGACTAGTGTTGCAAGTTATGGATCTAGTCATAGATTCATTTTTTTACTCTAAAATTTGCAAAGATAATAGGCTCAGATTTGTTCAAACTAATAAATTTTAAGAAATAAAAGAAATAATTATGATGAATTGTAATAAATAGAAATTTAAATAGATAATTTTAACAAATAGATTTTTTCAATAAATAATTTAAACATATAGAAATTTTGATAGATAAATTTTTTTCTCACTTGCGGTTGCAAAAGCTATCACAAGCGCTTTTATTCTTACCTATCTCTTCTCTCCATGTCTCTTAATTATTTATCATTAATAATTTTATCAAAAAAAAAAAATGCTAATAGAATTTAAGTATAACAAATTAATTAATGTGGTTGCAATATATATAGTTTAGGCAATCAAGACCATTCAAGCCAAATTCGAATTAATCTTGAATAAACAATATTGAGTAACAAGTCAAATTTAGACAATTATCAACAACTCTCAACGAACGCAACTCAACTCAAACTGAAACCAAACAACTGCTTAATCCGCCTGAACTGAAACCATACATTTATAATGTCATAGACTTACACTTTTAATTTATAAATTCACCCACAATGATATGACAAGAGGGTAAAATTCTATATTATTAGATTTCTAACAAATTAAAAGTTAACACATAATAACAAGTCATTCTGAATATATTATGAGACTTTTTTTTTTTTAATAGATCTAAAACATTTTTCTCATGGGAAATTTTCTTCCACAAAACAATAATCTCTTTCTTGGTAATGGCACTTGTTGGAGCACCAAACATTTTTCTCATGGGAAATTCTCTTCCAGAAAACAATAATCTCTTTCTTGATAGTGGCACTTGTTGGAGCATCAACATTCAAAAAAAAAAAAAAAAAAAAAAAAAAAAAAAGACCAAAAGAAGTAGTGTTTAAATTACTACTTCAAATCACTTTGTGACCTAATAGTGAAGATATGTTTTTCTAATTGATTATTGTGTTCCAATTAAACTAGTAGTGCGAAGATGGTGTTTCACTATTTAAATGTTAAAATTAATTTTATTGAGTAAACTTTGGGGTACTTATGTATAGGTTATAATAGGTGAATTTATTGTCCAATAGATCCTGTAATAATTAATGGTATTTTTCATCAAACACTATTAAAAAAAGTCACGAATTGTTAATTTTCAGTGACAGATTGAAAATTTTGTAACAAAAAATTTCACTAATTATAAGTTTTAGCGACAATTTAAAAAAATCGTCACAAAAAAATATTACTAATTTTCAACTTTCAGCAACAATTCAAAAAATTTGTCACAGAAGAACGTCACTAATTGTAAGTTTTAGCAACAATTTATAAAAATCGTGACAAAAAAAGGTCACTAATTGTCAATTTTTAGTGACAGAAAAAAATCGTCAGAAAAATTATTTTTAGTGATGATTTTACTACGACTAACTTTCAATAGAATTTCATGGGAATTAAATCTAACTATTAGAACCTATTGGTAGTTTATCCAAAATTTTACTGTTAAAGTTAATTTCGATGATAAAAATTTTGCTATTTTTTTTTTTAAAAAAACTTCATGGTCAACATGAATCTTATTTGATAGATTTTGATGAGAGAATTCTAAAAATATAAATTTTATTAAAAAACTATCTAGATCAAAAGTTAGAGGACAAATTATGACAGTAACCCCAAGGCTTGGATGAGTTGGTAAGGTAACAACTTACATGACCTAAGGTCCTGGGTTCGAAACCTATACCAACCTCCTTATAGCCTTTGACTAAAATTGGGGGTGAGGGGTGAATTTCTCGACTTCCTCTCCTGGGTTGGCTTGTAAGGTCAGATCATAAATAGGCCTGGGGGTTCCCAGGTCACAAAAAAAAAAAAAAAAAGACGACGACAGTAGTCCATGTACTTTGGTTATTGTATTATTTTGATCCCTGTAATTTTAATTGGCTTAATTTAGCCATAAATTTATGACTTCATTTCAATTTGGCCTAATTGACTATAATTCTTAGCATTTTTTTAATGAAATATACGCATATAAATGGCATGTGTCATAATTTTGAAAGCATAATTATAAATTTACTCAACTCAGTATGTTTACCTCAACCAATTCAGTGATTATTTTCCTTCGAAAATACTAACGACATTATCAATTAGACTGAATGGACACAAAATTTAAAATTAATGGTCAAAATTAAGCTAATTAAAAGTGTAAGGACCAAAATAACACAAGTGGCAAAATGTAAGGACCACTAATGTAATTTACACAAGTTATATCATTTTAAGTTTAAAATATTAAATTACTCATTAAAAATATTTTGGTAATAGTGTTGTGTGCTAGATTTTTCAAGAAAAAAATGTGTGTGCTTGTCCTTAATGCATTAAAATTTTATTATGTTGAGGTTTTGATCAAATTTCTCCTCTTTAATGTATTTTATATATTTTTTAAAAATTATATTAAAATATAGTGTTCCTATTTTAAAATAAAAATATAAAATCCATGATAAAAATTTCTATTTCTGATTTTTTATTGATTAATTACACTATCTAAATAATGTAAATTATATTGGTAGTTCCTAATTTTGTCAACTGTCATTTTAGTCTCTATAGTTTCAATTGTCTCAATTTTAACTCTTAATTTTAGATTTTACATCAATTTAGTTCAATTAATAACGTCATTAAGGTTTTTTGACAAAAAATTTTGATTGAATTAGTTGAAATTAAATCATTGAATTGATGGGCTGCTAAATTGGTGGAGGGGTTGCAAATTCAAAAAGGTTATTGACAAGATTTGGAGGGCAATCCCTTGTGCTGTATTGTGGTCAGTTCGGAAGGCAAGGAATGAGCTAAGATTTAATGGCACCAATGTCACCAGGGAGGAGTTGGGGGAACTAATCAAGATCAGGCTAGCACTATGGGCCAAGTGTAAGATTCAAAATGTGGATTTCTCTGTGTCTGACCTGGTTTACAATCTGGCTTCCATATTGGAATGTGGTGGTTAGGTGTTGTCCCCTGTTTGTTTGCTTTCTTTCTCTTTCTGGTCTTCCTCTCTCAGCTTTGGTTGATCTCTCCTCAACCTCTGATTTGTGCTGTGCATTCTCTTTAGTGTCAACTTAGTCGGGATCATAGTTTTTGCTTTGATGGTTATATCATGATCTAGTTTTTGATTTTTTCCTTTATTGATGTTGATGTACAGTTAAAGATTCTCTTTTTACTGATCAAAAAAATTTAATCACTAAATTGATTAAATTTATAACTTTACTCCCAAAAGTATGACATATGTCGCTCGTGTGCACATTTTTCATAAAAAAATACTAACAATTGGAAGCAATTGGACTAATTTGAAACAAAATCAAAAAATCGAAGTCAAAATTGATCTAATTTAAATTACAAGAACATTAATGACACGAAGGCTAAAGTGCATGGATTAGCAATATAAATTGCCCTTTAAAAATTATAAATCAAATGTTGATTTGAAATGAATACAACAAGAAACAACATTATTCTACATGATGTCTATATAAATTATGTTCGTTTGTTATTCCAACTCAAGCTATTTACTCACTATCACCCTTGTTTCCATATCTAAGTTATCTTAATGGAGAAAACTTGGTTCCTCCATTTAACTGCAGTGTCATTGACACACTGTTTCTTGGCCTGCTTGGCTATGAATGGCTCCTACTCCACCACTGATCAATCTGCTCTTTTAGCTTTCAAATCCTATATCACTTTCGACCATCCTCACCACATATTGGCAACTAACTGGTCCTCAGCCACCTCAGTTTGTCACTGGATTGGTGTCTTTTGCAGCAAGCGCCACTACAGAGTGGTGGCCTTGAATCTCCCAAACATGGGTATTGGAGGCATCATTCCACCCCACATTGGAAACCTCTCATTTCTATCCTACTTCAACATCACCAGCAACAACTTCCACGGTCATCTTCCCAGCGAGTTGGCTCAATTGCATCGCCTAAATGTTGTCGACTTTGGTGTCAACAATTTCGGTGGAGGTGTTCCATCGTGGTTTGGAAACTTACCCAAGCTTCAATACTTGCGTCTCGCAAACAACAGTTTCACTGGTTTAGTTCCACCTTCCATTGGCAACATATCAACATTAGAGTCTCTCAATTTAAGGTCCAATTTTCTAGAGGGAAGAGTTCCTGAAGAGATCGGTCATCTTCCGAAACTGAAGACGTTAAGCATGGGATTTAATAATTTGTTGGGGTCTATACCGCCAACCTTCTTCAACATCTCATCACTTCAATGGATTGATTTCACATCTAATATGATGTCTGGTAGTCTTCTGGAGGATTTGTGTGTTATTCGTCCTAAACTAGAATTTCTTGCTCTTTCCGGGAATGAGTTTGATGGCCAAATTCCATGAACTCTAGGTGAATGCAGAGAGCTCCAAATCATATCATTGTCTTACAATAAATTCACTGGTTTCATTCCAAAGGCAATTAGGAATTTGACTTTGCTTCAGATTTTATATCTTGGTAGTAACAACTTTAAAGGTATGATTCATTCTCACTTGTTACTGTTATTCAGTTTGGATCGCGTTTGATATATATTCAAAGTAAGAAGATTGGAAAATTTTCATGATGTAAATCTTTTTATTTTGGTGTATACCATATTCACAATTATGACTTTTGTCTCATTATGTTATCAGCAATGTTAAGTATCATGAAAAACCTTTCATGAAAATAATCATGAAAACTTTGTGACTTTTAGATTACACTTAGAATAAAGCACCACACACTAATCAAGATCTCTTATAGTTTTATATTTTGTTAATGACCAAAAAATCTTCAATTATGTCTCATGTGACATTTGGTTATAATCCTTACTTATGGCTTGATTGATTATTACAACTTATTATTATTTTAATTACGACCAATTAGATCTTTGATATGTCATGTTTGGTTATAAGTTATTGTATTTTTTGTATTTACAATTTAAAAGTGATTTAATTATGTCATGTTTGGTGATAATGTTAGATAATGTCTCAATGGGACCACATAATTAAATGTGGTGTTATCATTTATAAGAAGCCTACAATTTAAGTGATTCAATTTAGTTAATAGGCTTAAGGGTATATGTGTTATGGACCTAATGTGCAGATACTAGTTGTATAATTTCTATTTCTATGAGGGGCAGAAATAGAAATTAAAACATATTGGTTAAAGTTGGTTTTCATTACCTTTCAGTTTTAAAACCAATAATGGTTAATTTATTGGTTTTCATTATCTTTCAGTTTTAAAACCAATAATGGTTAATTTATTAGTTTTCATTACCTTTCAGTTTTGAAAACCAATTACAACCTTTAAAAGGTTATGGTCCCTATTCCTTCCCAAAGTGAAAATAAGAACACTGTTTTGTTTTTCTAAATCCTCTCAAGGAGAAACATAAGGCACAAAAGGGAAATGATTAGAAGGCTCTAACAAAGTCAATATCAAAGGTTTTATTGACAATCAGACGCTTCCGTTTAACCGTTCATCAATGGATTCAGGTATGTCATTTTGTCTTGATTTCTTGATAATACACATGGTAAATAATCCAAAGTGTAAGGTTTATGTTCTGAAATTTATGTTTACAAGTGGTATCAGAGCGGTTATATCATGTGTATTATCAGAATAGATATGCTTTTATTCATCCTATTTAGTTTCCTGGAATCAGATTCTGTTTTTTGTTTTTCTGTTTTTTTTTCCTCTGCTGCAAATTCTGTTTTGTTTTCTGGATATGGAACATAATTCGGATGGGCGGTTCATTTTTCAAATGGATAACATCATGTGTTTAAATATATATATATATATATATATAGATGGATCAGGTGAACAACGTCCAGGACCGTTTGCAAAATACCTGGAGGAATGTGGAATCGTCCCACAATACACCATGCCAGGATCACCTAGCATGAATGGTGTATCTGAGAGACGAAACCGGACTCTTAAGGATATGGTAAGAAGTATGATTAGTTATTCTACTTTACCAGAGTCCCTCTGGGGTGAGGCTCTAAAGACAGCAACTTATATCTTAAATCGGGTGCCAACTAAAGCAGCTGCAAAAACACCTTATGAGCTTTGGGTTGGGCGAAAGCCTAGTCTAAAACATTTGCATGTGTGGGGGTGTCCTGCTGAGGCGAGGCCTTATAAACCTCATGAACGAAAATTGGACTCTAAAACCATTAGCAGCTACTTTATTGGCTATGCCGAACGATCACGGGGTTACAAGTTTATGATCCCACAAATAGGTCAATATTTGAGACGGGAATTGCAACATTTTTTGAGGATGTTGAGTTTGGGGGAGAAATCCAGTTAGAGACATTGTCTTTGAGGAGGAAGCAGGAGTAATCCCACTTCCTATTACTACTTTTGACCAATCACAGGTTCCTATACCTGTCATTGCTCGAGAAGTAATTTCGGATCCTCAACCAGACAATGTTGTTCAAGATAATATAGTTCAAACCCCCATTCAAGATGAGGTAATTGTTCCTGAGGAACAAACTCTACAACCTCAACCTCAAGAATCTGTGCCATTAAGGCGATCCACCAGAGAAAGGAGATTTGCATTTTCAGATGATTATATTATATATCTCCCGGAACATGAGGTAAAAAATGGAATGTCGAAAGATGATCCAATCAACTTTCGTCAAGCCATGGAAAGTTCCAACTCTCATAAGTGGATAAAAGCCATGAATGAAGAATATAAGTCTATGCAAGACAATAAAGTTTGGGAACTTCTCTCATTACCAGTTGGTGCAAAGCCCGTAGGTTGTAAATGGATATTTAAAACCAAAAGGGATTCAAATGGTAATGTGGAGAGGTATAAGGCACGTCTTGTAGCCAAAGGCTTTACTCAATCAAACCAAGGGATATGGCTGTGGAATTTTGTCACTGGGTTGCGTATTTTGGAAGGCACTGCAAGACCACTTAAGTTATATTGTGACAATAAGTCTGCAGTTTTATATTCCAATAACAACAGGAGCTCGACAAAATCAAAGCATATTGATATCAAGTTCCTAGTTGTAAAAGAAAGAGTGCAGAGTGGACAGATTTCCATAGAGCACATTGGGACAAACTCCATGATAGCAGATCCACTTACGAAGGGACTACCACCCAAGGTCTGTCATGAGCACACTGCTCAGATGGGTGTTGTTCTATTTGAGAACATTCTGGTTTAGTGGGAGTTTGTATTTATATTACTACTTTATGTCAGCCTTGAGTTTTATCTATATAATTAGATTAATTTCTGTAGAAATGAAGTATTCAGTTTATTACACTCTGTTACGTACTGTGAAGTATTGATCTCAATAAAGTTAAGTAGGACCAGTTGGAAATAGGCATGTATGGATCACATCACATGTAATTTCCATGCTACGCATCCATGATTGATCTATGTCATTTAGCTGTATTAGTATACGCGACCATTGATGGGTCGAGTTATGATTGATGTAACGAAGACCGCTTTGATCCTATATTAATATAGTTAATGGACAAGATTGTTTGGATACCCTCAAGTTATGATAACAAATTTCTGAGCTCACTAAAGTTAAGCACATTTTCCAGGATACATATGTGGTCCAGTGGGAGATTGTTAGACAATGTCTCAATGGGACCACATAATTAAATGTGGTGTAATCATTTATTTCATGTGCATTCATCCTAGGATACTTAATTTTGAAGTATCGGATACTTAATTTTGAAGTATCGGATACTCGAAGTTATATATTACTTATAATATTTTGTTTAGTTCTTTGATAAGAGGAATATAGTGAGAGCTTAAGTAATAGAATTTGTTAAATTGATGTATCCTTGTTGTCTCTCTCACTTCTCTCTCGCTTTCTCACTCTCTCACGTTTCTTCTCTCTGCTCTCATTCTTTTTTTGGTGTTGGCATGTAAGGATGATGTTTAATTTGCATTTGCTTTTGCTTTTAGTTTTGGATATTTTATGAATGTTTGAGCACTTTTAGGTTAATAGGAATCCCTTTCTTTATTTATTAATTTACTTTAAGTTTTATTTTCATGCATGTTACATTTTTAAAATTATAAAAAAAAAAAATTACGAATGTATCCCCACTGTACCCGTATCATACTTTTTCAAGATTTGACATATCGCCATATCCACATCCCTATATCACCATATCCGTATCCGTGCTTCCTAGGCTATCATTGATGACTTAAAAAAGTATATTTGCTGAAATTTTTATTTAAGAATGGTTTTTTGGCTTTAGCTAAGGTCTTGTGATATTCAAAGATGAAGGGGAACAAGTTGAAGCTATTGACCTTGAAGACTCTTAGTTTTATAGGAATCTTTCTTCTTTATCAAGTTGTCTTTTGCTTTAAGTTTTATTTTTATGCATACTGCATTACTAAAAATTGTTAAAATAATATTTTTTACGAACGTATCCCCGCCGTATCCGTATCCTAGTTTTTCAAATTTTGTCGTATCGCCGTATCGTATCGTATCCGTATCCGTATCCCGTATCCGTATCCGTGCTTCCTAGGTTGGCGCCGTCTGTGGGAAACTCTTCCGATTGGCGGTTGTGCTCATTGTCACCGGAAATAGTTTCCTCTTCACCCACCTTCAGTGTCGGAATGAATGGTTACCACATGATTCATGGCTTCCTAGCGGCGGTGGCGACGTTTTCCCCGCCTACACCTCTGTCACCGGCACCATGATTCTAAACCGATCCGTGGCCGACGATCTCATTCCTAGCCCGGTCCAATCGTACCTCAACTTGGCTCTCCGATGCCTCTTTACGCCGCTCTTGGCTCACCTCACCAATGTCGTTGGTGAGCACTGCGGAGGTCTACCTACGCACCAAAATCAAGTCCCGCACCAAGCAATTCAAAGTCGTCAAGACTTCAAAGTTCAAGAACAAACAAGCAAAAGTTCAAGAACAAAGCTCTGGACAAGTATTTCCCATTTGATCCATATCAAAGGCTCAGATTGCCCCACGTGAAGACATGGGCTTCACTCCCCAAGCCACTAACTCTCTCTCTTTTCCCTTCGTCTGTGTCATGTCTCATCATCACGTGCATCCCTGCACCTTGAGCCCCGTGCACCGCCAACCAACCCAGCTCGGCAACATAGTTCGGTCGGCAACATAGCTCGGTCGGCAAACTAGATCGGTCGGCATCATTGGTCGGTCGACAACTCGGTCAGCAACATAGGTCGGTCAGCAAACTAGTTCGGTCGGCAACATAGCTCGGTCAGCAAACTAGATCGGTTGGCATCATTGGTCGATCGACAACTCGGTCGGCAACATAGGTCGGTCAGCAAACTAGTTCGGTCGGCAACATAGTTCGGTCGGCAACTTCAGCAACAATCAGACGGAGCCCCAGCGTCTCCGCCATATCCGAATGGTCTACTTCTCCCTCCTC